TTTTTCAATTATAGTCCACTTTTAAGGCTCCTTCTGACTCTGAAGACTGTATGATGCTTTGTAGTACATTGGTTTCTCTTACTATCTAGACAGGTGGACAGGGAGGGTTTCATGTGATGGCTGCCCTTTTCTCAAGACTATGTTAGGTCTGAAGCAGGGATTGCCATTAGCCTTTTACCAGTTTCTGCTAGACCTCTCAGTTGCTTTCAACTCTGTCCTCCTCTTTTATGATACTAGTTTGTTTCTGGTCCTCTTTGACCCACTCAATTTTCTTTTCTTCTGTATTTACCTACACATATACATATCCCTCCAACCTATTTGTTATAGGAATGATTCACTTACCTAATTTTAATTAGTTTTGTCATTTAGGTAGCTTAGGGTTTCTTCTCAAGCCCAACTATAGTCTTAATAGCAATTTCTTCTGAATGTGCCACCAACCCTGGAATTTAATGGGTGAAAAACGTGTACTCTGTCTTTCCGTCATCATACACCTTCCCAATTTCTTCATTGTCTTCTTTAAGTATCTTAAACTCCTAACTTTGGAGTATTCTTACCTTCTCCCCAGTTAGCTCTGTATTCTGTTTACTATTAAATGCTGTGTGTCATTAGGCACATGGTAAGAGTCCTTGGACCTATCCTTGTCTCTTTGTAGCTGTAGCCAGCACCGAAGCCCTTGCATCTCAGAGCTGAATTACTGCCCCTTGCTGATTTCCCAGACCCTAATTTCTCTGTGTTAGGCCCTATACTCAACTGCTAGGTCAGTCCCCCTTAAACACCGTTAAATCACTTCCCAGATCCTAAGCCCACAGTATCAAACTTACATACAAGTTAGCATTTAAACACCACCTCTACTGCATTCTCCTTATCTGTTACTTCTCTAAATGGAGCCAAGCTATTGGGTTCGCCCATACAGCGGCTCTAGTAGTGCTTAGCTGTCTTTAACTTCAGTCAAAAGAATTTTGTTTGATTGTATTGTGACAGCTGTCATGTCAGCATGCATTTTTAAAAACACCAAAATTGGTGAATTTTTGTGCAGCCATTTTAATATTGAAGATGGAAGAAGATATGCAACATTTTCAGCATATTGTGCTTTATTATTTCAAGAAAGGTAAAAATGCAACTGGAACGCAAGACAAGATTTGTGCAGTGTATAGAGAAGGTGCTGTGACTGACTGAATGTGTCAAAAGTGGCTTGCTAAGTTTCTTGTTACTATTGACATTTTGTCCACGTAAGTCTTTGCTGTGGGGCTGTCTTACGCACTGGAAGATGCTTAGCAGCACCCCTGGCCTCTGCCCACTAGAAGCCAATAGTGCGAGAAAGCTGACATACTCAAAATATCCAAATTAATAAAGTTATTGGTGAAAATGAAAGGTGTGTCTTTCACCTTATGGAAGAAGAGTAACAGACTCTTTGGGCAAACCTGATAATTTGGTAGTCAGCCTTACTTGTCCTTTGTTCTTATTTTGTCGTTCTCATCCCCTCCTCGTTGCACACATTCTTCTTTCCTCCTGGTGTGCCTTTGCTCTCTGCTTTTCTGAGTCTCATTCCCTTCAATGGTTCATCCCATTTGCCTTATCTCTTTTTATCTCTTTTTGCATTCTTTCAATAGATATTTAGTTTGTCTAGTAATAAAGTCCATGATACCCTCCCCCTTTCTGTTGTCTGTTTTGGTTATGCTCCTTTTGAAGCATAACTGTTCCATGTGGGAACTATTGTTTCTATTTCATTTATGGCTCTCCCCCTTTCCTGCCTATCGCACAGAGTCCTGAGCGTAATAGCTGTCCAGTAAACCTTCCTGGCTGACAGATCTATGAGAGTTTCGGGGGAGATGTGTACTGTTTAGCATCATCAACAATTTTTAATTTTAGAAATGCAAAATAATGCTTTTTGTGCCATTACCTGGTTTTACTTTTTTTTTGTTTTATACCAGATTTTGAAGTGTTCTCAATACAGTGAAATAAAGTTCAGCATATTACTACAAATATTAAATATAATTTATTGAATGCTAGCCATTCAATAAATCTAATTCAAGAGAAATGTTTCTTAGCTTCTTGGAGGTTGGCTAGACATTTTTTTGAAGGTACATTACAGCCTTAAAGCCACTCACCAGTTAATATAGTAAGATCCTTAGCAATTTCGCATCAACATAATAGTCACCAGCACCCAGAATAAGGACCGGTTACCTGGTTTTCTTCCGCTCTCTGAAGCTGTGTTTCTTTCATGTGGCTGACCTTCTCTGAAAAAGAAGCATTTTTTTTTACCCATAATTCCCATATCATCCAAAGTCAATTCTGGAAAAGGAGAAGTGGAGCTTGGCTGAGGAAGGATTCGAGGCAGATGGCAGCTGATCCAGTGGCTAGCTGTCTGACCACCAACCTTCTTCTTTCTCGTCTCTGGAACAGAGAGTTGACTTAAAGATAGTCCTTAGTTCATAGCACCTTATCAGCATCATCAGTGCAAATGTCCTTTCTTGTTTTGTTCTTTTCCTTTTTAACCCTTTATCTTCAATTCTCATGCCCATTACCTCCCCATTCATATGCACCCACTGTAATGTATTTGTTTTATGTCCTTACACCTCTATATACTTGCTTGAAAAGATATGTAGTATAATTGTGGTATTTGCTTATTTTTTTAGTCAGTGCTCTGCTTTTTAAGATGCTCTTATGTTGCTATAGGTATAACTAAAGTGTGATTTCTAAAAGCTACATAGAGTTCCATATTTGTATCCATTCCATATTAGTTTTTTTTTCATTCTTTCAGTTATGAAAAGCAAAGTTTCTTAAAGCCCTGTGCCACAACATTGTCACAGCAAACATTCTCACACACATCTGTAAAGTCTATGATTTCAGTGGGGATGTAAATAGCCTGATTTGAGAATTTCTCTGCAGTTTATGCAGCAGAGTGGAATCACTGGCTTATAGGTCATAGACACATTTAACGTCAGCCAGTACAGCCAGATCACTTAGCAGAATGGCTGTACCGGTTTACACTCATCTCACAGTGCGTGAGAGTTCTCGCCTCCCCGCCTCTTTGCCAGTCTTTGCTATTATCCACCATTCTAATTTTTTCCCTTCTTTGCCAAGTCTTACTAGTATCTACCATTCTAATTTTTCCCTTCTGATAGGTCTCATATATTTTTTACTATATTTATATTATAATTTATATTTTATTCACTGGTTTTACTTTGAATTTGATATAATGAATCCTCACCCAAAGATATATTTGTTGATTTTTAGAGAAAGAGGAAGGGAGGGACTGACGGAGGGAGGGGGGGAGATAGAGAGAAAGAGAGAGAGAGACATTGCTGTGAGAAAGAAACATCAATCAGTTGCCTCTCATACACACCCCAGCCAGGGTTTGATCCCTGCCCTGACCAGGCATCAAACTCACAACCTTTTGATGTACGGGATGATGCTCCAACCAACTGAGCCACCTGGCCAGGGCCTTTATATACTTTTTATACTATTTTTCAATCATTTAAACTTGGAGATATGAGTTCCGTACTCATATCTTTTAACCATTTTTCTATTGGGATTCCTGTGATGTTCATATTTAATTGTAGGAATTTCTTGTCCATTCTAGGTATTGTAATCCCTTGTCAATTTTAGATGCTGCAAAAGCTTTTCCTTGTCATCAATCTTAACTCTGTTCATGGTATTCTTTATTATACAGAAATCTATAATTTTGTTAAAGTCAAATCCAGCAGTTTTTCACTGTTATAGTTTGTAGTTTTGGAGTTTGATTTATGAAGTCTTTCTGCTCGCTAGTGTTCTCTGCTTTATAATTTTCTCTCTCTATGGTTTTCTCACACAAGCCTGTTTACATGGCCTTTCGAAGAGATGCCTTTCTTTTCTTTCTTGCCTCTGGTTCTCAGTAGGTTTGGCGGCGGTGTTACTGTTTGGCTGCTTCTGGAGGAGGAAAAGAAATGCAAGGAAACTGGTACACCCTCTTTTCTCTAAGCACTACTCTCGCTCACAGGGATGGACTCCTCTGACCCCGTCTGTACTACATGAATCGTGTCTGCTCAGCGACAGCTGAATGCAAAGGGATTCATACCTACACAAGCAGAGCCTTCAAAAATCTCCCCCCAGGAATTTGAAATTATGACCAGTCTCTGCTGGCCTCTTGAAGGACATGCTAATAAGGGGTTTGGGGATGACCATCTTCTTCTGTGTTCCCAGAGAAGTGAAAGAAATGGTCTGCAGACAAAGGAGAATGAAGAAGATAGGCACAGAGAAACAGAAAAAAAGGCTCGTGAGCCCATCAAGAGGGAGGAAGATGAGATAGAATGCGGGAGTAGCTGTCCTGGATCCTGATGGCTTTCCAGTTTCTAGTTCTGTTCTCTTCCTAAACCAGATTGCACTTCCTTATCTGTGCCGGTGAGGGGTGGCTACCTGCTGTAACAGCCTTCAGAGTGTACAGTGGCCCTGACACAGTGGAAGTTTATTTCTCCTCACATGAGCAGGTCCAGATGGTTCTGAGCTGTTGGGGGTGGTAGTAGTGGAAGGCTCTGTGCTACACGGTTATCAGGAACCCCGGTTGATGGAGGCTCTGCCATTTTCATCATCACGTGATGTCTAGGGGCTCCTTATGTGCAGCATCCAGCTTGCAGAAGGGAAATGAACGTGGAGTTTTACACACGGCAAGTTTTATAGGCCAGGCCTTGAATTAGCAGATACCCTTCACATTCCTATAGCTGTAACTCAGTTGTATGACCACGTTTAACTGTATGGGGAGCTGAAAACTCTCTAACTGTGGACCTAAAAGGAAGAGAAAAAATGGGTTTAGTGAACATTACTAAATTATTAGTAATATTATTTAGAGATAGCCATATCACATTACCTGTGTGATACCTCTGTATCCTTACAATCAAGTTCCTCTTTTTCCTTAAACTGACTTGAGTTGGCTTCTGTTATTTGTACTCAGTGCATTAGGTGGTTTCATAATAGCCATATTTAAAATAGTAAAGAAATAAAGGCTGATTAATTTATTTTCTCAGGGAAGTTGGGTCGATTTCCACCCATGATGCATCATCACCAAGCGCCCTTAGATGGCCAGAACCCTGCGGCTCGCGTCCAGAGGTCTCATCTTGCAGAGGCTTTTGCAAAGGCCAGAGGATCAGGCGGAGGCACTGGAGGAGGAGGAGGTAGTGGAAGAGGCCTGATGGGGCAAATTATTCCAATCTATGGTTTTGGGATTTTTTTATACATACTGTACATTCTATTTAAGGTAAGTGGAATCATCTTGATCATACTACATCACTCATAGTCTTAACATTGTCATAATAAAAATCATAGTTGGCATTAAAACCCTTTACAAATCTATCATCTCTTTAAACCTTGCCTCCCTCATAAGGTACTTAGGATAGCTGTTATCTCAGTTTACCCATGAGAAATCTTTTTTTTTCCATTTGAAAAATGGTTCTTTTTAATGCAATTATTTTAATATAGTTACATAATTTCATATGATAAGTGTAATTCAATTTGGTTTATTTTTTCATTTTCATTTTTTCAATTTTATTTATTTATTTTTATTGTTCATATACATTTGTCTCCATTTTCCTGCCACCACTTTCCCTGCCCCACCCACCCCTACCTCCCACCCTCAATCCTTCCCCACTTTGGCTTTTTCCATGGGTCTTTTGTACATGTTCCTTGTTTTGACCCTTCCTCTTCTTTTCCCCATTAACCCATGAGAAAATCTTCACTCAGATCCTAAATGATTTGTCCCAGAATTCACAACTGAAACTGCAGAGCCAGGACTTGAACCAAGATCTTCTAGTTTTCTAATCCAGGTATCAATAAAGGTCAAAGCCCTCAAATTTTTGTTTTTGTTTTTTTACAGGGCATCTTTCCAAGCTGAAAAGGCATAAAACTGCTCTAAGACCTTTATTATTAGGATTGGCTCAGTAATTTCCAGGTGGCCAGATAATGTCTGCACCAATATCACCTCATCCTTCTTTTCCCCCAGGAGTATGAGGTGCTGTTTTTTAACATCATCTCCAGTAATTCTTCTAAAACAGAAGTTCCACATCCTGAAACGAAGCCTGATATTTCCTAGCTCCAGGGAGACATGGTTTGGTTCCTTTACACGTAGACTGCTAATTAAGTCCCACCTCCAGGCCGACTTTGGCAGGCCCTGGGCCTAGTGAGGCACTGTGAAGCCGCGGCAGGAGTTTCACTTTGCCCTTCTAACTGGAGTAAGAGGCGACCCCCTCCCAACCCAGAAATTCCACAGGCAACCTGAGCTGAGTCCTAGATGAGCATGGTCTTAGATGAGCATGGGCAAGGCAGATGACCAGTAGAGAGATTTTTGTCCTTGTGCCTTGATAATTTTTTACTTAGAAACCTTCTATAGGCTTTGTTTGTTTGTTTGTTTTGAGTTCTTTCTGTTCAGTTGAATTTCAGACTTAATTTTTGTCTCCCAACCTTTTCTTTTTTTTTTCTTTTTTTTTCCTCACTTAATATGAGGGGTTCCGTGACTTTGAGGTTCTGAGCTGCTGTTGATGTGCTGTACCTCCTTCAATCCTCAGCTCTCAAAGGGGAAAACTACTGCAGAGGACCGGAAATGCTCTACCGCCACCCCTGGAAACGCCTACAGGAAAATTAGTAAGTGCCCCTTTCAGTGTAGTCACAAGTTTTACTGCGTCAGACCACTGTAATACAGCCAGAGGAACAGTCTGGATAAGCCTTAAAAGCATTTCTCAAAAGTTGCACCAAATTAATTCGATGCCATTTTTACCTTAGCTCTGAGAGTTCTCAAAAGTCTCCATATTGTTGTTGGCTTTTAAGGGAAAGATAGTTACAAAAAGTACCAAACCGCCAGTTCACTTTTTTATATGTTAGCAAATGAATATTTCACATTTGGCGTGGGTTACTTCTCATTTCCAGACTTCAGAATATTGATAGCAAATATCTTCATTTCCACAGAGAAGAAAAGTGAGGCAGAGAGATCAAGTCATTGCCTTAGTCAGTCGTTAGATCTAGAGACAGAGTTTCACACTTCTGGCGCTTGAAACATGATCATCAGATATTTACTCACCAACTAGAATATTCTCTGCTCTCTGGGGAAATGAAATGTATGTGGCATAGCGCTTCCGTCTAAGAATTTATAGTCTAGGATGGATGTCAGGAAAAATAACTTGTGAAAAGTTTACTACCTAGAAAGAAAGGATTTGACAAAAGCTGTTTGGGAGATCATGTCTAGCTGGGTGGCAGATAGATGGGACGGCTTCAGTGAGACACAGCCCGACGCAGAGCAGCTGTGGGAGAGAAGGCCTGAAGAGTCGGTGGGTTAAGCCATGTTGGCCTTTGAGGCCAAATTGCTTTATCCTGTGGATAATGAAGCCTCATCAGATGTTTTTAAAATAGACATCAGCCTAGTGAAATGAGGCTGGACCAAAGCACCTGCCCCTGGCCATAACTGCTCTTTGTACTTACTTCAGATTCTCTGTGGAAATAGATATTTCAGTCACACTCTGCATCCTTTTCGGAAATCTTAAATATTCAGGGAATTCTTTAAGAAAGCGTCTGTGTTCTTAACTGAGATAATGTCAAACAGTGATGGTAAATATGTCAGTAAAATGATTTTTAAAGGACTCTTTAAAGAGTAGCAAATCCTGTATCCTGTTACATAATGCATTTAAAACAGAAAAGAAGTAAATAAAATGAATTCCTAAGAGCATCTGTTTTATAATGTAGTAGCAGCTATATCAGCTTCTTATCCTTGATTCTGAATCAAGCAGCAAATAAAAGTAACTGAGGCATTTATGTGGCACAGTCCTCCAGACACTTTACAGATGTAAACTGCACGAATATGAGTTTGTTCCAGAAGTGTTTAAAAAGCCTTTGAAATACCACGTTGACAATAACCCTTTCAATATATCTGTGTAGAGAATGATATTGAGGTATGAAACAGAAAAACTAGATTATCTACATAATGAAAATTTTATTTCCCTACTGCCTTTGAAGTTCACTTCTTGTACTGATTATTTTTTCTGTTCTACTTTTAGGGTCTTAATATTAGTTTCAATAGATGTGCTCTCTACTGACCCTTGTTGAGAAAACTATTCATACTTTTGGGAGGCAGGGTTACAGCACTTCACTCCACATGACTGGGGCAGAAAAGCTGGGCCAGGGAGGCCTCACCCCTAGGTCAAGACTTCCTATACGGAGGAAGCATAACATTTAAACTGTTACCTTCCAGATATGTTTTTAACCATACGTACAGTGAAATATTGCTCATTTCATTTAGTTTTCTAGTACCTCATAAGTTTGGTACTTTACCCTCAAGCATCATTTAGATAAGAATAGCCAAGTATGAAAGCAACCCAAGCGTCCATGGATGGATGCATGGATAAAGAAGACGTGGCGCATATATACAGTGGAATGTTACTCAGCCATAAAAAAAATGAAATCTTGCCATTTGAGATAACATGGATGGACCTAGAGGGTATTACAGTAAGTGAAATAAGTCCAGCAGAGCAAGACAAATACTGTATCTTTTCACTTATATGTGGAATCTAAAAAAACGAAGCAAATAAACAAACAGTACGAAACAGAAACAGTTTCATAGACATAGAGAACAAACTGATGACTTCCAGAAGGGAAGGAGGTTAGGGAAAGGACAAAAAAGGGTGAAGGTGAATAAGAGATGCAAAATACTAGTCATAAAATGACTAGTATTAGAAAGTCATGGGAATGTAATGTATGGCATAAGGAATATAGTCAATAATATAAAAACCTTTATGACAGAATGTTACTAAACATAGCCTGGTGATCACTTTGTTAGGTATATTAATGTTGAATAACTGTGCTGTACACTTGAAACTAATACCGTATATTAATTTAAAAAAAAGAAAATGGGAAAAGAAATGTGCTTATCCTCTTCATTTCTTCTTGGGTGACTGTAGGGGTATGTTTTTCATTCCTAGGTATTTTGTTAGCTGGTCCTGCTGTATTTCTGTGTGTAAGAGAGTGATGTGCTCATCACTCACTAAACACACATCCTTTAAATACTGGTGCCTAGACCACGGTGCCCTTTGTGTCCTGATTGGATTAGCTGGAGAAACTCTTAGTCTCTTCCCTGATTCTGAGGACCAGCCTGGATTACTGTGGAGTGTCACAGCCAGCCATGTTTCAGAAAAGAGCTTAGGGAGTTGTGTATAATGGTTCTTAGATTGATGCTTGTTTTTCAGCCAATTTTGAGCTTGTTCAACTGCAAGAAAAACTGAAGGAGACAGAGGAAGCCATGGAAAAATTAATCAATAGAGTGGGACCTAATGGTGAAAGGTAGGTTTTCAGGACTCAAACTATTTCCCATTTAGAGAATCAGTTCAAAATTTTGCTTTTCTTTGATTTCTGGGGCACTTACTTTCATTTTACATAGTTGTTGACTTATTTATCATTTGCATGTTACTTCTCACATAGCATTTCTGTTTTCATGCTATCAAGCAATCTCAGTTTTCACAAGCATATTTTCAGTGTATTCATGTTATTGTGAGTGAGTCAGTTTGTGAGCAAATCCTTCGGGGTGAATAAACTACGTTTTAAGGAAGACTGTTTCTTAGCTGTCTAAAAAAGGCATAATTTTACGTAAAACCAGATTATTAGATATTGTGCTATTTGAGACAAAATGAGAAAACATAGCAAGTATGATCAAATTTGGCATTTGTGGTTTGCATTGACTCAGCCAGAACAGAATTAGACAAGTGGATGTTAGGAGCCAGCCTAGCCCCCTAGGATGCCTCACAGGGTAGACTCACTCCTGTCGCGACAGGGCCGGCTGTGCATCTGAGAAGGTAGTTTTGGGAGGTTGATGGAAGTGGGCACAACTTGGGAAACATGAATATGGAAGGCCAGGAAGGGAAAACCAGAATGTGAGATTGAGAACAGAGAGAGATTCTATTTGAGTGAGGCCTTCTGACAAGAATTGAGGAAGGATAGGGATGAGGGGCAAAACCCCGAACAAGGGAATGCGTTGTCAGGTTCCTCTCTGTAGCTCTGTGGGCTCACTAGGGAGTCCTTTTTGCCCCAGAATGCATCTGCCTTGCCTAAGCCTCTTTTGTTTGCCATCCTCAATCGCACTAGAGCCCCTGGCCCTCACCCTGCGCCCTGGCCCCAGCCTTGCCCCTCTTTGGCCAGATAGGAGAAGAACGAACGTTCTCAGATTGTAGTCTTTTATCTTGGCTTTTCCCTGCAATGTCTACAGTGCTGCTGAAAGAACATTTATGAGGACGAACCTTGCCTGTATGGGCCCAGGAGCCTTGACCTTCTTTTAGTTCAGAACGCAGAGTGACTATCTGGAATGTTCCCCCAAGTGGTATAGATAATGTGCCCATATCTGTACATGAGTATATGCTGAGTGTATAAAAATATTTGATATTTATTGAGCAGTTACTAAGGACCAAGCTCTGAGCTAAATGCTTTTTTATATATTGTCTAATGTATGAGAATTTGTATGAATGTGACTAAACCAATTTGTGCAACTACTTTTCTCACCTTTTCTGTCCTGACCCTGTCCCACTCAAGTCTAGGTGGGCAACTGCCAGGCTTTTATTGACCTTCATGCCTTAAAAAATATCTTTACCTTGGCCCTTGTCTATTTGAAGGCCCAGGCTACACCTAATGGTCATGAAAGCCGTAGAAGAACACCTGTGGGCTTGGCCCCCCTCCTGGGAGACCCAACCCCTAGGCCTTGGGATAAGAAACCACATGAAGGTATATTCACACTATTACTCCTACTCAGACTCCTTTAGCTCAAGTCAAAGAACCCCCGTCCCCCCATGCCCACCACCTGTCCATTGCCCCAGCCGGGACACAGTACCGCAAACCCTGACTGCTGTCTTCCTCTTTGTGCTAAGATTACTGTGCTGTGTTTTATGTGCAAAGGCACAGGACTTGACCCCAGTCTGCAGCTGCAGTGGCGCTACTTCATTGATTCTGGGGCCACAGGTCCTAGCCCAGAACATTTATTCCTAAGACGCTGCAGTGCGGGCTCCTTCCAGCCTGCTGCAGAGGGATGGGTGTAAAACGGTTTCCATGGTGCCGCTCAGGAACTGGGGAGCAGTTCCTTTGCCCCAGAAGAGAGCATAGCTTGTGGCTCTCTTTTCAAATCTCTCATTTTCCAGCCCATGAAGATGTGACTTTCTCCGTGGCGCTCCTTAATCCAACACCTTTTATCCTTACGAGGAGGCCGAGGAGGCTGTATGGAAATTCAGCCCTGAAAACTGCAAGGGCCAGGTAGCCCCAGGCTTGGCATTGTTTCCTTTTTATACTTACATCCCTTCATCTCATTTTCTGAGGCATTTGTTCTTCTGCGAGTCTGTGCTTCTGTGATTATTAGCCCAGAATACCCCAGTATTTTTTTTCTGTCAGGTCAAGATTTTATCACATCTCCAGGATTTTGGGGTCAAGGAGAGAAATTAAGACAAAGAAGATGTGTTCATTTACAGCCTTCTACGTACTTTTATATATATAATATTCAGTCCATATCAGCAAGATTTTGTTTAAAATTTCAGAAATAATGCAGTTTCTGAAACTGCCATCTTAATGCTTATGTAAGAATCAAAATATAGGAAAGGTTTTTAATATTATCTAACAAAACTTTTGGACGGCTTTCACTTGATAACATCTGTCTGTGTACATGTTTGAATAGCGAAGCCTCTTGAAGGCTTGCGTCATGCCCTGTTCTGTCTGACATTAGGCACAATGTCCAACCTAAGGACACAGAAACGAAGAAGATCTGAGGACCAGAGCTGAGGTGCCCTCACTTATGTCCCTAGGATTAGCTAAATTTCCTTTTGAGAGCAGCGAGTCCAGCTGTAGTTATTCGCCCCCTGGAAGCATGGCATGGCCAGAGGGGAGAAGTGGGGGCGCAGCCCCCGGCGGCAGGCAGCCCTGGCAGGCATGTTGAGTATGTGTGTGGGACTGTAGATTTCTGCCATGCGTTGCTGCAATAAACTCTTTGAGAACAGGATTAGTCAGTTTTGTTCACTGCGTTCCCATAGTAGGTATTAAGTAAATGCTGTTGGAAAAGAATAGGTAATTCACTATTGATACAAGCCTTTGTATATGTATTGTGGTCAAAGAGTAAATCATGGCCATTCCCTATTGAGATTCTTCATTTCCTGATTCAGAGTCCTACTGAGGATAAAGGCAGCTGTCAAAGATATCTGCCCTTATCCCCAGCAAATGATGTCTCTTCGGTGAATGACTGTCCAAGATGGAACTCGTCACCCCCCCCAGACGAATTTAACTTTACTATTCCCTGTCTCAGTAGATGGCGCCACCATCTGCTTAGCAGAAGTTAGATGTCATCCTTGATTCACCTTTTCCTTCACTTCCCATATCTCATTGATCATCATGTCTTGTCATTTCTTCCTAATTAATAAGTCTGTCACCCTGCAAAAGACTCTAAGCTCCATTAGGGTGGGGATTATCCTTATTCCCAGAGCCTAGGACAGGCCCATAGTAGGCTCTAAAAGAAGTATTTGTTGAAATAGAAGAAAGAATGAGTAAATAAATGAATACCTTTATTTTTGACATAGGTCAGAACTATCATGGTTATTTCCCCTCTAATTTTGCCTCCCTTCAGTTCACTTTCTGCTTTTCAGGCAGACGGCTTGTGTCTTCTGTGTTACGGGGTCCTGGGTGGTGTGGCCCTGCATGCGTCTTTTGCTTGACCTTTCTCCATCACTCTCTCGGTGGTCCAGCCACCCTGACTACTTGTTCCAGGACTTTGCATATACTTTTTCCATTTGCTCGGGTGTAACCCCCCCACCCCATCTTATATATGCTTATTTTAACTCTTGCTTATCTCATAGGTCTCAACTTAGACATCATTTTCTCTGAGAGTCCTTTCCGGGACTCAAAACTTGGTTAGTTGTTCATACTGTGTACTCCCATGCCACCTAGGTTTGCTGGATATTGTAAGTATCATGTTACCCTCTGATCGTGTGTTATCTTGTCTGTTTTCCCTGATGCCCCACGACTTTCTTGAGGACAGATTCTTCATTGTTCAGGTTTATATTCCTTACTGGCGCACTTACCTTGTTGGTACATGTTGAAAGAATGATTGAGGTAGATCTAAAGAAAGCGCGTCAAAGCAGGCTTTTTCAGAAAAAATAAGAATATCTTCTTTGGTACCTATTTTGATTTGTTCTTTGCAACCTTATATGGTTGTCAGCGAAAGCATTATTTCTCTATAAGGAACCTGCATCTCTGAGATAAAGTGTGCTCCAGGAACGTGTTGTTAGTTTTCAATGGCTGCTGTAACAGTTTACCACAAACTTAATGGCTTAAAACAACACACTTTTATTATCTTACAGCTCTATATGTTAGAAGTCCTACACTGGGCTAAAATCAAGGGGTAGGCCAGATTGTATGCCCTTTTGAAGGCTTTGGGGAGACTGTTTCCTTGCCTTCTTCAGATTTTAGAAGCTCCCCACATTTCTTGCCTCATCGACCCTTTCCCCCGTATCCAAAGCCAGCGAACGTGGGTTAAGACCTTCTCAAATCATTGACCTCTTTTGTTTCTCTCTTCGACTTGTAAGGACTCTTGTAATTACATTGTACCCTCCAAGGTAATCCAGGATAATCTCTCTAGTTCAGGTTCATCTGGGTACCAACCTTAATTCCATCTGCAAACCTTAAGTCTTCTTACCTATGTGGTAACATAGTTACAGGTTCCAGGGATTAAGATGTGGACATCTTTGTGGGACAGGGGGATTATTCTGCCTACCATGGAAGGTCTTGTGGAATAGGGGGAGTTTGAATAAGTCTTGCAGAGTGAAAGGCAGAGTTTGGGGGAAGAATGTTTCTGAGAAGGCAGCACAAGCAGTGAACAAGGTGAGTCAAGGCATGTTTTTGGAACAGCATGGAGTCCTAAGTGACTGGAGTGGAGTAGACCAGGGATGGGGTAAATGAGCAGAAGTAAGTAATGAGGAAACAGCAGAAAAGTAAACCAAGCCCAGACTGGAAGGGCTGAATGGTAGGCTGAGAAGGTTGAAATTCATTGTCTTTACAGCGGGGGGGCCTCAACACTTTTGAGGAGAAACGTCATGATGTACTATGCTTTAGAAAAATAACCCTTATAATGATACGTTGAGTGACTTATATACTGGAAGGTTATTGAAAGGGTGTTAGCAAAAGGTAATAAATAAGCCAGCAAAGGTGGGAAAGAGGAGCAAATGAAGGGGACTTCATGGAGGAAAAAAAATCACATGCTGTATGAAGATTCCTTGGTTGCAAGCAGCCAATCTGGGCATTAAATATTTGGAGGAGGCAGCAGAATTTGTTGGAAGACTATCAGATAGCTCGCAATGTGAGAGGAATAGCTAAAGACCCAGGTTTCAGGAAGAGTAGGGCGCAGAGCAGCTCTGAGGATTTAGGGAGCAGGAGCAGATGGACACCCTCTCAGGGACTGTTGCTAGGAGGGGTTGATATGAAAGTTTTCTGGTGAGGTTTCACTAGGTTCAAGATTCCAGTTTTAGGAGAAAGTACCCTTGGCCCAACTTGGATCCTGTGCATATCACTGAGTTGGTCACTGCAGCCAAGGACATGTGGTGATTGGCCACGGACCTCCTGGACACCCTTGAAGGAGAGGGGAGGGGCGAGGGGCTTCACCCTGAGCGGAAGAGGCGTTGGCTCCCTGAAGGAGAAAACTACTAACTAGATAAGAGCGATGAGAGGAAAAGGAGATAAAGAGGAGTTGGAAATTTACAGCCCAAACTGGAAGGCAAATTAAGTCATCAACTAAGATAAAAGCACAAAAGATGAAAAAGAAGATGAGGCTTGGGATAGGAATCATGAGTTCAGCTTTACAACATCCATGTACAATAAAATATGCAAGAACAATAGGAAATTTGGGTACTGAGGTCAGAACAAAAGACTCAGGTTTGGAAGTCACTTCATTGGGAGTAAGATGTAAGGGCCTTGGGGAAAGGTGAGATCCTTCAGTCCTTGAGGCAATCTGTACTGCGCCGCACGAGCCTCTAGTCTTCTGCTGGTCTGAGTTCTGTTTGAACCGTGAGAGGTTGCATTAGAAACCGTTTCATTCTTTCTGTGCTCAACTTTTAGATTCAGAGTTTGGTGGTTTCTCTGGGTTAATTGCATGCAAAATCTGGTGAGGATATCTCCCAGCTTGACCTTTTATTTTTCTAGCATCTTGGAATCTGCCATCCCCAACCTCTCCTAGCTCACCTACTCGCGCAGCTGCTCACGATTTGAGCCCCAACTTGGACCTGGTTTCGAAGGGTGAATTTAAGGTCAGCTTCAGTGTAGTGGCAGGGCCTCCAAGTGGAAGTGCTCAGGAGATACTTGGGATAATGAGCCTGGCTTTGCGTGGGAAGTCAAGAGTAAAGGTAGAGTTCGGGCATCATCCACGCAGAGGCGATGGTTTAATCTGTAACACTGGGTTAGCTTCCTGAGGGCATGACTGAGAGATGGAGAAATGAGAGTCCTGGGATTGAGCCTTCAGGAACGCCATGTTTTAGGAACTGGGAAGAAGAAGGTGAGCCATGATCAGAGATGAGACTGGTTAAAGAAGTAGGAGGAATAGAGGTGTCTCAGAACACAGGGAGGAGCACGTTTCAAGGATAGGATGGTCCACAGTACAGAGGAATCAAGAAGAATGAGACATGAGAAAAAGGCTTTTGGACTTGAGAGTGAAATGGTAAGGGATGATTTTCACAAGTTTTGGTAAAATGATGGAATAAAAGCCAGGTTTCAGGGAGATGGGAGAAAATGGATGGTGAGGAAATGGGAACCAATCTAACACATTAGCACTTAAAAGTGTTTGTGGCACTCTACCTATACAGTCGTATAGTTATCACTGTCTTCCAGGAGTAAACCAAGTGGAGACCATAAGGAATCTATGAAAATGCTCATTGTGATAGATTCAGAAGACAAAAGGTGGTCCGTGGCGAATTGCCTAATGCATGATAGGGACAATACTGGTACACTTGTTCAGAAGTGAAAGCAGATGCTTTGTTTGTAATTCTCCAAGACAGCTTCTCTTGTCTGTTTCTGCTTCTGTTCACCATCCCTCTTTTAATTAAAGTTATGATTTTTCATTAATTAAGAAACAGAGAATCCAGACTTTTTTCATTCAGTAAAAATCAGAATACATTGATACAATCCAGAGAAGTAAATGTGTGCAGCCTAAGAGCAAGCAAGCCCTTTGTGTTAAGCACATAGGCTCTTTTAGGTAGCAGTGACCTAGCTCCCCAGAAGCAGCCCACAGAGTGGGTCATGGTAAGAACTAGGGGTTATGCAGAGCAGATGAGCAGTTGTAGCAGGTCAGGACTCTGGTACTGATGGGAAGCGCAGAGCTGGGAGAGGCCCAATAAATGTAAGAGTTTAGCTGAATGTAGAACAGACAAGCATCTTCAGCTCACGGCTCTGCAGGATTTATTGTAGAAGAAGCGGAGCTCTGGTGTTTTTGTTTTCCTCCCACTGAGGGCTACAGAAACGGTGCGCCTTTATTTTCCTCAATTACCATCTTACGTTGGAGGGAGAAGGCCTTTTTTCTTTTTCCCTATTGGTCATTAAGGATAAAGTTTGTTAGGCTAAGTGTAAAAAGGAATGCAGGCTCCTCCTGTCTGATTAGGCCCCTCCAGGGGAGGCTGATTCAGAGTGGAACCATTTTTCCTTCAGGAGTGTTGTATTGATTTTGAATGCTTTGGGTTTTTAAGAGAAGAATAAGTAGCCTCTGTTAAATCCTGCCAGTAGATAAAACTGGTCACAAATAAGGCAGTTCTCATTCTTCTGTGCAGGACCTTGTCTGCCTATGTGTGTGATGCAGAGCTTCCTTCTCAAAAGCAAAAAAAAGGCCATTATCCTTTAGCCTCTTTATTGTTGCAGCATTTGTCCAGAGCCACCCAGCTAAGCTGGGACTCAAACCCAGGTTTTATAAACTGTGAAACTTGAGCACTGGGCTTTAAGAATTGTACCGAATGCTTTCAGGAGTCAGGAGACCTCAGTTTTGGCTGAAGTTGATGAAATTAACTAGCAATAAGAAGGTATAATTTTCCCTTTGAGTGTCTCAGTTTCCCCAGTTTCTGTGACCTAGATGATTGATTGATTAGTTGTAATGATCCAGCTCTGGAATTTCAGGATGTGTCTTTATTTTTGCACAAGTGTATACAGCCTGGGGATTGTAGGGATGGCCTAGTAGCACGTTTTTCCCTTGTTGAGGCTAATGGCTCAGTACATTCGCTTTTGATGACCTTGCTTCAGACAAAAGTGGCTTGCAGTAAATGGAATAATATTAGGCAACAATGAAATTGCTTGGAGACCAGAGAATCAGGGCAGTGAAGCAGACGGAAAGAACACTGAACGGAAAGCTGAGATTGCTGAGGTCTGGCCCCAGTACTGACATTAACTCATTGTGGGACCTTGAGCAATCACTCGATCTATTCTGGGCCTTATTTTTCCCATTTATAAAACCAGAACATTAAACTAACATGTCTAATTACCAGCTATGCTGTTCTAGGATCAAGTCCTAGAATAATTGTCTGCTTCTGTTGAACTTCCTGTACTGGGATCCAAACAAATCATGGTGATATTTATGTTCATTGCCAAGGACTATTTACCACTAAGTGGCCGGGTTGTCCGATATTTCTAAGCAGAGCACAGACTGTGACTTCTGACCAAGAAAAACGATTGCTGCATCAGCTCCGAGAAATAACCAGGGTCATGAAAGAGGGAAGATTCATTGACAGACACACTCCAGAGAAAGAAGCTGAGGAGGCCCCTTACATGGAGGACTGGGAAGGTAAACAGTTTCTTCTCATTTCTTTTGTAGCTGCTAGCCCAGAAAAGAGATCTTACAATTTTTTTAAATAAGCTATATCACTAAAGTGTAAAGTATATATAATAAAATTCACCGATTCTAAGTATATGGCTGGATGAGTGTTGACAGTGTGTAGGGTTGTGTAATTACACCACAGTCGTGACATGGAACATTTCCATCATCTCAGAAGCTCCGTCCCCCTTGGCAGCTGATTACCTCCTTCTGCCCATGGCAAGTGCTTTCTGGCCCTGTAGTGTTACCTTTTCTATATAAATAGGTCATACCGCACATGCTTTCTTTTGTGTCTGGCTTCCTTGATTGAGCATAATGCTTTTGAGTTTCATGTATTGAGTATATCAGCACTGTCATTTTTTTTTTAACTGCTGAGTCATATTTTGTTGTATAAGTATACTATAATTTGTTTCTCTATTTGCTAGGTTAACATTTGGGTTGCTTCCAGCTTTGAGCTGTTATGAATCAAGCTGCAATGAACTTTTGCATACAAGTCTTTGGATATATATTTGTGTTTCTTTAGGGTATATACCTAGGAATGAGATTTCTGGGTTTTACGGTAAATACATGTTCAACTTTATTAGAAACAATCAACTGGCTTTCCAAAGTGGATCTGCCATTTTGTCTTCCCACCAGTAATGTGTGAGAATCGTATTTACAACATTCTCGTAACACTTGGCATTGTCAGTCTTTCTAACTTTAGCCTTTTAGTGAGTGTGTAGTATCTCAGCTGTTACTTTAATCTGCATTTCCCCAATGACTGATGATGATGAACATTTCTTTATGTGCTTTTTTTGCCATATGTTTTCTGCCTTCTTAAAAATATGAGGTATATTTATAACAGCTTCTTAACAGTCTTGGCTGCTGATCTAATCATCTGGGTCATTTCGTGATGTGTTTCTAGTAATTATTTTTTCCCTTTGTTATGAGTCCTATTTTCCTGCCCTTTTTGTATCTCTGGTAAATTTTTATTGGATGATGAGTATTGCAAATTTTACACTGTTGGATGTTGGATTTTGTGTTAGTGCTTTAAATAGTATTGGTCTTCTTTCTGGCATACACTTAAATGACCAGAAATCAGTTGGTTTCCTTTAATCCCTATTTTTAAGATTTGTTAGAATGGGTCCAGAGCTGCCTTTACTCTGTATCCCTAGTAAGGCTGTACTCTTCTCAGAACTCTACCTAATTAAGGCTGCACAAGGTCTTTCTGCTCTGGCTAGTAGGAATGTGAACTCCTTCCAGCTATGTGTGAGCTCCAGGAATTTTTGAGCCTAGTGCTTTCAGTAGTTCTTTTCCTGGCTTTGGGTAGTTCTTTCCTACATATGTACAGGTCAGAACTCAGCTAAAAACATGAAAAATTCCCTCTGCAGATATCTGGAACTCTTTCTCTATGAAGCTCTTTTTTTTCCAGTAGTCTTCCCTGTAAATTCTAGCTGTTCTGGCCTCCCTGAATTCTAATCTGTCTTCCCAACTCAGTGAGACCACTGGCTGTTTTCCTTTTCTCTGGGGTCATGACCTGTTATGTAATGTTTGAAAATCAGTGCTTCATATGCTTTGTTTGGCTTTCTAGTGGTTTAATGGGAGGAGTCCCCATGCTTCCATAATTGCAAGAGCAGAAGTAAGGGCCTATATATTTAACAGCAAAATGATTTTAGATATTCTAAATAGTTATGGGTGGAGGAGAGGAACCTTAAAAACTAGAAAAATAATTGCAGATATGTACTGGCTCTTTAGAAGCAAAGGACGTTTTGAGCATACGGGCATTGCAAGGTGCATTTGTAATAAAAAATCTCAAAAAAGGAATAGAGGGGAATTTTCTCAACTTGATAAAGAGAAGCTACAAAGACCTATAGCTAATACCTCATTTAATGGTGAAAGATGAATGCGTTTCCCCTAAGGCTGGGGACAGGAAAGGACGGCTTCCCTCATTCAGCATAGTGCTAAAGTTCGGAGTATTGCAGTCAGGTGAGCAAAAGGAAAAGAAAGGCATGCGAGTGTAAAAAGGAAGAAATAGAACTGCCCCTATATGCAGATTTCATGATTGCAGAATATAGAATTTTATAAGATATAGAATTTATTCTTTAACATATAGAATTCTATAAGATATACAATTTACAGGGAAAAAGACTGGAAAGAAAGGAGCTTCATAGAAAACCCGGAGGAATCTATTAAAAAGTCCTAGAATTTATTGGTGAGTCCAGCAAGGTCAAAGGATACAAAGTAAACATACAAAAATCAATTGTATTTCTATATATTAGAAATGAATACAAATGTATTTACATCTAAATTAAAAATTTGACATCAAAATTAGTATCATTCAAAAAAGAGAAAAGAGAAAAACACATTTGTTAAATTTACACCTAAGGACTTGTTGGCTGAAAACTGTACAACATTGATGAAAGAAATCAGAGGTCTAAATAGAGAGACGTATGTTCATAGATTGGGAGACTCAAGTTAACAAATGTCAATTCTTGCCAAATTGACAAACAGGTTTAACACTATGTCTCTCAAAACCACAGCAAGATTTTTTTGTAGATACAGAAAAAATTATTCTAAAATGTATATAGAGAGGCAGAGGAAATATTGTAGAATAAACAATTTTTGGAAAGAAGAAATGGAGTAATCAGTGCACCTGATTCTAAGACTTATGATATAGCTACAGTGATCGAGGAGACCATGTGGTTTTTGTGTAGGAATAGACTCACAGAAAAAAAAAGAAAACAGAACAGGGAACCCAGAAGTAGACCCACACAAAGATGTACAACTGATTTTTTTCTTACAAAAGTGCAAAGGCAATTCAAGGGAGGAGAGAGTCTTTTTTAACAAATGGTGCTGGAGCAATTAGATATCCATAGCAAAAAAATAACCTCCATCTAAGTTCTACATGTTGTATAAAAATTAACTAAACTAAAATTAAAATTACAAATTAAAGAAACTAAATCATGTGGACATAAATACAAATTGTAAAACTATAAACCTTTTAGGAAAGTAGAAAATCCTTGGAATCTAGCATTAGGCAAAGAGTTTGTAGACCTGACATCAAAAGTACAAATCATAAAATTAAAAATAGATAAGTTGTGCTTAATCAAAATTAAAACTTTTGCTCTGTAAAACATGATGAAAACACAAGCTACACAAGTGGGAGGAAGTATTTGCAAATCATATATCCACAAAAGGACTTATACCTAGACTATATAAAGAACTCTCAAAACTCAACAATAAAGAATAACCTAAATAGGAAATAGGCAAAAGATATAAACAGACAAAAAGGATATACAGATGGCAAATAAGCACATAAAAAAATGTTCAACATCATTATCTACTAAGAAAATGCAAATGTAAATCACAATGAGAGGACTTCTGGTCAAGATAAGCACAGGTAAACACTGCTCGCCTCCTCGCACAACCACATCAAAATTACAACTACAGTATAGAATGACTGTCACTCAGAACAGTCAGAAGTTGGGTTGAATGGAAGTCTCACAACTATGGAATTAAAGAAACCACATTCATCCAGACTGGTAGGTGGGGCAGAGACACGGAACAGACTGGTCCCTCACTCACGTGTGGTGGATAAAAATTCAGGAGGGCTATCTTGGGAGTGAGGAGTCCCAGCCCCACACCAAGTTCCCCAGCCCAGGGTTCCAGTGCCAGGAAGATAAAGTCCCACAGCTTCTGGCTGCAAAAACTGGTAGGGTTGAGTTAGTGGAAGAAACTTGTGGAGTCCCAAACAGTTCTCCTTAAAGAAGCCACATGCGGACTCATCTACTCAGGCCCACTCCTTCTGAGATCCAAGACCGGGGTATCAGCTTGAAAGGCACCAGTGGCAAATAGGGAGACAAGGAGGAACTGAAGTGTCTGGCATCAAGGTACTAGCTGAGGGACAGCTTTCTCCCAGACAGAAAGGCAGGCAGAGCCACAGAACCTCCCCCAACAGAGCCGTAGAACCAGCAAGCAGGTGCCCTATATGAGAATCCATCAACCTGGCTAACACTGTTTGCCCTGCCTTGGAGATCTCCTGAGACTCCATCCCACCTAACTTATGGACCCAGCCATACTGTTAACCATGACTTTTCCATATGAATGATCGGTCTTGGCTCACGTTTCACAACTTCCTAAATGCTATCAAACAAGCAACAGTCGGCCTCAGTAAGCTCCCTACCACCAGACTTGCTAAGTGGCTCCAGGCCTTGCATTAGTAGAAGCCATCTAAGATTGCTTTATAGCTCATGCAGGGTAGCCCTGGGCAGAACAAAGGTGGGGGCTGACCTAGGCCTGCACCACCCAGGAAACCCCAGAGCCAGCACACCTAGTGGACAGTTACAGACCATGCTGGAGCACCACCAGCCTGCCCCTGCATGACTGATCCTCCATGGAAGGCAGAGGTTGGTGGTCTGTGGTCACAGCCAGTCCTTGCAGCTGATTGGCCTGGATAAATCTGTCCGATTGACCTGCCAACAGCAATCAAGGCTCAATTACCAGAGGAGGATGTACTCAGCCCACACTAAGGGTACACCTCAAGTACCCAGCTTGGGTGATAAGGGAGGCTGTGCCAATGGATCCTACCAGACACCTATTGCATTAGGCTACACTACCAAGACAGGGAGTAATAGCACCTCTACCTAATACATAGAAACACATACAGGAAAGCTGCCAAAATGAGGAGATGAAGAAACATGGCCCAAATGCAAGAACAGGTCAAAACTCCAGAAAAAGAACTCAACAAAATGGAGATAAGCAATCCATCAGATGCAGAGTTCAAAACACTGGTTATAAGGATGCCCAAGGAACTTACTGAGGACCTCAGCAGCGTAAAACAGATCCAGTCAAAAATGAAGGATACACCAATTGAAATAAAGAACAAGATACAGGGGAACAACAGTAGAGTAGATGAAGCTGAGAATCAAATCAATGATTTGGAACATAAGGAAGCAAAAAAACAAACAAACAAACAATCAGAACAACAAGAA